AATAACTTAATTAAATTAATATCTATTAATTTAAAATTTTTAACTTAAAAGTAAAATTAAAATTTAAAACTTTATAATATCCAACAGCTTAACCTTTCGTAACCACACAGAATAATCTAAGTGAATAAAATTCGTTTGGTGAAATAAGTGAACAAAATTTTTTCAGGAAGTAGATATCATAAATCAGAGTCTGGTACGCTGGCAGTGTACTTGATCGTAGCTCAAAGTCAGAATTACAGTTAAACTGCCGTAAACTGTCGAATGGCATTTCCGTCAATTCATAATTCCCCCCACGATCAGATCGCGAGGTTGCGTAGCCGAATAATAATAATATATATATACTTTTATCAACGCACATAGCAATTATTTACCTCATCTAATTTTACGAAAATAATAAATACTATAAAAACCAAAATTAATTAATTAATAAAGTTATATAAGAAAATAGAAAAAAAAAAAAATGTTCTCTGTATCCATATAAAGAAAACAACGCAACAGCTCGAACGATTTTCACTCTTTTCAGACAATTTCCGCAGGAATTTCTTCTGTGTGTTTTTTTGGTTATTTCGAGGGTCTTTCTCCTTTCCTCTCAGGTGCAGACTCTTCTTTCTTTTGGATTTCATTTCTTGTTTTTTTCTTTTCATATTTGCATGTGAATTTTTTGATGCATTTTTTTTGGTTTTAAGTTTGGATGATTTTGTCAGCTATGGGTCTGAGGAATTTGATTTTCAATCAAATTTTTTTTTTTGTTGATTTTTTCGATGGAATAAATCTCGATTTGAATGGGAAATCAATCTTCTCGATTTGGGTATTTTTCTCTCTTTTGAGGGAGTTGAATTTTGAAGTTTTGAACTGAAAGGAAAGGTTTAGTAACGGTAATTTTTGTGGGTACAGGGGTGAAATTTAATGCATTTTGTTCATGGGAACGATTGGGTCTTGATTTTTGTGATCTGGGTTTTCTTTATTTCATAGTTTTCTGTAAAGCACAGATCGGTTGTGATAAATGATGGGTTTTCGTAGCGGATTTTGTTGATTTGAATGGTCAATTTGAGTTGAGCCTTGGGAAGAATGAAAGTAATGAACAGAATCATAGGGTTTATTTTGATTTGATTTCATTTGATTGTAGAAATCTTTTTATTTTTGCCGTCGAATTCGGGTTAATGTTTGTGTTTCTTTTTCTTGTTGGTCTTTTGAGAGCAGATGGTAAGGGGAGGGAAGGTTAGTGGCAGAAGCAATTTCAGGAAAAGGGTTGGGTCAAAAGATGAGGGTTCTGATGATTCGGATGAAGATTATGTGGTTTCTGCAGAGGAATATGAAGTAAGTGATGATTCGGAGTACTGTTCTTTAGATGAATGTGCATCAGAGGAGAGTTTTGCTGATGGGGATGAGGAGGAAAAGAAAGAGGTGAGAAAGGTCGTTTGGCCGAGGGTAAGGCGTGGATCTTTTGCTAAGGAGAAAGTTGGAGATAAGACATCACAAAAGAGAAGACGGTTGACTTGTGAAGAAGAGGATGATGAGGATTATGAGGGGGAGAAGGAGGAGAGTTTAGGTAGTTTTGCTGAAGGGGATGAGGAAGAAGAGAAAGAGAAAGAGGTGAGAGAGGTTGTTGGGACGACAGTAAGACGGGGTTCTTTTGCTAGGGAGA